GCCTACTTGTACTTAAAGGAATGCTATATTAATGATGCTAAAAGTCTCAGAGGGAAAAATTTAATGTCCACCTCATAATATTATGCCAGAATTACATGCACAGAAGACTTTTTAATAATCTTTGTTTTTTAATTTAGTTTTGATTGGTTATGAAATACAGAGTAGCACTCAAGGGCTCAAATTTCTACTGACATCAGCATTTCTGCTCTATAAATTGTACAAATGCACAGGACTCCCATTTGTAGGCTTCTTTTCGAGCTTCTGTTTAACCTACAAAGAAAACAGGCTGCAGGCAATAATAATTGCTGATAATTTAATCATTTTTTAACCATTGGGATGTGAGATGATGTTAAGATTGCTAGGTCTAAACATAAGCAGGAGCCTATTTTTATTTTGCCATTTCAGCTGCAAACACAGGTGGGTAACGTAAATTCATCTCCAGTTTGCAAATTACAGCAATAGCCACTAGGAGTCTCCTGTTAAGCTTGTGATGAATGTACATGCTAATCCTGCCCAAGGTTTGAACACAAACCCCATGCAAAAAGCTGGATTTCAGCACAGGGGCTGGCCGGTGTGACTTCGGGGCGAAGGGACCTCTGACCCATGAGTGGCACCACGGGGGTTCCTGATGGGGTTCCTGACGCGTGTACTCGGGCTGCAGCTGGCAAACACTTCAGAAACAAAGAAGACAGAAGTGACCTATGCTCTGTTCTTGTAGTGCAAAGATGGCGACAGTCGTGAAAATTCAGCTTTGTTTCTTTTTATAACTGGACAGAGTGTTGTGAAATTATAACCAGCGCTTATGAAGACGGAATTTAAAGCAGATTTCTGTTAACTGAAATGTTGCAGGCCACAAGAACTAGCACCCCAGGAACTTAAAAATTTGCTTCCAGTATCTCTGCAACGTGAATCCTGCTGTTTTGAAAACATGAAGTAGCTTCTTTTTCTTCTCTCTTCTCCTTCCCCTTTCCTCTCCTCCCAGGCCAACTAAGTGTAAGCGTATGGTGCCAGATAGAGTTTCACCAATGCCAAATGCTCAAAGTTCAGGAATTACAGACCCACAGGAATTGTCACGCTGGCTCAGATGCCGTGACCGTCCAGTCCAACTCTGTGACTGACAAAGGACAGCAAAATTTCCTCAAAGGAATGCCACAGAAACCAGATGTGCATTCTCACTCCAAGCAGCTAGAGACTGCTTTAAAACGTATAGGGAAGGCAGAGGTGACTGGTCAACCCTCTCTGCAGGAGTCTGGTTATCCTGCAGGTAGGAGGGGAAGGATGCAGTCACGTCCTCCTTATAGACACTAGCAATTCCATGGCCATAAAGCATGAGTGTTCACTGCTCTTAGCCATTCATTTGCTTATGTGTTTCTTTCATGCATCTCTCCTCTCAAGCAAAATCCTTTCCCAAGCCCTAAAAATCATGAGTGACTTTAAAAATCATGATATTTTAAACAAGTAATAATTTGGAGGGCTATTTATATGGCTTCTGCTTTTTGAGCTTCTCAGTTTCATTTTCAAACTTTTCTCTGCAACCACAAGGACTAAGAAAAAATAAAAATGATGTTTTAAATCAAAGCTGAGAATCTCACATAATCATAGGACTCCAGAGGTTTGAGGTTTTGAATAATCTCATGAACTGCCAATATTGAATGTCACCAGAAACTATCATGTTATTCTCAGAACAGATTGCATAAAAGCAGTTGTGGGATAGTGTTCCTGCTGCATGTTCCCCGTAATAACCTACGAATGCTGTTCTGGAGGGATGACCCAAAGGTGCTTTCAAGTGGTGAGCTGCCATGTGCTGGGTTTAGCTACCAACTAGAAGAGTGTGGCATTTTGCAACAAATCCACACATGCAAATTCCTGTTATTTGGTCTGTCAACTAAATAAGCTCACCGAGTAAAAACTTGTAATGGACTCATAAGAACATTTAGTTCCATGGGGAATACGCAGAAATAACTAGGAGGCAAATTTTACCATTAACTGCCCATCTCCTCTGTATTGTACGCTTGTGAGCATCGCAATACATAATTGCATTGTGTGTTATGGCAGACTATTACCATCTTCCTCTCACAGACTGGTTTAGATTTTACCATAATCTCCCAGCAGGACTTGGGTGAACCTCTCAGTCTGGTTGTGTTTCAGGGATATAATCTATACTACACTGATAGCTGACACAGACTCAATAGCTAGTACCTTAGTCTGTATAGTCTGTAGGGAACAGAAAATTACTAAGCCTGATCGGAGAACTGATATGGAAACAAAACAAGAGGTTGCTTGAACCTCCTCCTCTTCCTGCAGAAACAGGCTCAGCTGTTTGGTACCCTTGCTCATTATTAGGGTATCTGAAAGGACCTTGATCTCCTCCAAGGAATTACCAGAAGGCAGTTGATCGTTAACCTGATTTCAATAACAAAACACTGATACATAGGTTTAGCATGCAAATATCCAATACTCACAACGATAAAGCCGAACATTTGTATAAGTCAGTTTGGCACTTCATCATGCTGAAAAGAAACCTTTGGATCTCTGTCGTTTCAAATTTGGGTCTTTTTAGCACAAGAACATGCCGAACAGGAATGCACTCTTTTCCACTACCCACCTTCTCCAAGTATGTCAGTGCTATCTTAACTCCTTTTCTAAAACTAAAAATGAACACAAAAATAAAACATTCCCTTGTTGGGAAATGCCAAAGGCTCAGCCCTACAAATACGTAGGGCCTCATTTTGAAGGAAATGTGTAATTTCTGTATGTAGTTATAGTACAGACAGACATAAAGCATTTTTAATGATGAGAGTGCACTGCTGCTGTACAATACCTCAGGAACGTCAAATATTTCTGTAATTTTCCTAATGTTTCAAGCAGGTCAAGCCATTACCAATGCATATCTGAATATAGTGTATATGTACAATATACCTCTATACTGAAAGCAAATAAAACAGTTTTTCACGTAGATGTCAGTCACTCTACACTTACATCACTAAATTACACACTCTCGTTTTGCATGCTTTCTCTCCCTCTACCCAGTTATCACTCTTTCTCTACTCCTTGTGTCAGGATTCTGGTGGCCTTCTGCATCTCAAGGGCTTAAGTAGCAAGTGAGCTACAGCTGTAACCTCACATCATTCTCAAGTAAGCTTTCATCCCACATCACAGCATCAAACACCTCGATAGGCCAAACATTTTCAGGGGGAGTTCTGGCACCATTTTTAATATTAAGATTTAACCAAAACATCTTTTGTTTGTTTTTTGTTTAAAAACATTATTCTAACTAGAGAGTGGACTGATAACCAAGGCATTCAGAAACTTAAGAAATTACTTAAGACAGGAACTGCTGCAATGTTTACCTGCACTAAAAGGAAGAAACAAGTTTTGCTAGGCAGTTTCTTTTGCATTAAAAGAACAACTTTTCTTATTCATTACATGATGATTTACTAAATATCACTGAGGACTAAATCACAACTATTACTATTCTGAGGCAGAAAATACATTTCAAAATAAAGAAAAAAGACCATATTACATGGGCATGTTGCTTTTACTTGTTTTTAAACAGTGGCTGCTCGAAGCTGCTCAGAGGTTTAGGGTGTCAAAGCCATGTCAGCAGAGATGTATTAATGGACAGACAGCAAGTGGTTGCAGTCAAAGGTTCACAGGGAATTTAATTTATTCACGTAGCTCTGCAATTCATCACGTGGCTATTACCATAATGTATGTATGAAGCAGCTGCATGTGTGCACATAATGCCCTAAATGTATGTGTGGTTGGACCTTAACTCCTTACAGAACAGTAGTGGTTGAAAATTATACCATAAGGCATTTAAAAGCAATTTCCTTCCTGTGGGGATGCTATCACACAGCAATGATGATTTGTACACAGACAAGTAAGTATCTTGCGGACTTTCGTCAGTTATGATAATCTCACTTACCAGAGCTCATTGGTTTTCCAAATCTAAATTATGTAGGTAATGTGATGTACGTTTCCAGTGCTTTATTAATAGATGCAAGCACATACGTTTTGCATCTCAAACTCACATTTTCTAGTCAAGGAATACTGTCTGTTCCACTCAATATTTAACAGAAATATTCAGTAGCAAAGAAAACAAATTCTCCATGTTTGTGAGGAGAAAGAAGTTACCTGCAAGTTGAAGATTTCCTTTAACTCCAATGACCTCCCACAGCACGATCTATCAAACACTTGGGAGCAGCACAGCTATAAGGTTGATATATACGGTGTCTGCCTGGTTTCTCATACCTGTACAATTGTTTACCAAGCCCAACATTTCGAAAACTAATCTCTAATTTTAGGAGTATCTAAATTCAGGAGCTTGACTTTGGTCTCTTTTAGTTGGCTTGCATGCCTACAGTTTCAGTCAAAGAAGAAAGCTGTCAGTAGTTGATAGAGCTGGCCCCCACCTGAAGGTGTTTCTTGCTTGCACTGTCCATACATGTAGGTATGGACCTCCTGGCATGCACCTGCTGTGTGTGGTAGCAAGGCTCCAGCAATGCTCCCTGCTGCTGCATGGGCTTGTTGGAAAAACTCCACCAGCCCAGCTCCCACCACAACTTTTTAAGCTTCTACAGTCTGAGTTTCTAATAACGGTCTCATGTTCGGGAATGATGCTGAATTCTACCACGCTGTGATGCTTTCAGGCAATTGTATAGGAACCAATTCACTCAAGTCTTATGTGATCCAGGCAAATGCACCCCAGTTACAGGTTAGCGCACTAAGACTTTTATGCTGCTTTCTCTTAAGTCATTAGAAGTTGACCTAGAGAGACAGCAAATTCAGACAAAGTCAAGTTAGGTCACCTTAAGTAGAACATCTCATTGCCCAGCCTAATGTACTGCTCAGCATTTTGTTCAGCAGAATCTTTCACATGCGGAATATGATACAGATTTTTCTTGGGTAATTATATGTGCACTATAGGGCTTCCATTTTGAAGCCATCTATCACAAATATATACCCACTAATTATGCAAAATTCAAAGCTTGCCTTACCATTGCACAGAAAGTCTCAGGAGGATCTCCACACGTTATGTCTGGGGGATCCAGTGTCACTTTTACGTATTTGATCATGTCTCTGGCTTCTGGCTGGCAGGCCATGTAATCCCACACTTTTCCTTCTTCTGTGTAAATCTGAGTCTTACACACGTCATAGTGTCCCCATACGGATGGGTAGTGCTGCATCACAGAGGATACGGTAACCCAGAGGGCGTGAAGTGACAGGAATCTTGACAAATACATTTCTAAATCCTTTTACGTCACCTTTGTAAGGATGCTCAGTACTTGCACACGTGCAGTCTATAGATTATACACATACGTACATATACATGTATGTATTTTATAAAACAGGTTCCAACTCAGACGTGAAACATTACGATAGGGTGTTTGTTTCGCTAAGTTGAAGACTTTGGTAGAAGCCACCCAGACCCTGATGACAGCCTTTTACAGCAATGCAGTGCTTGTCCTTTGTCTTCTAACGTATCTGTCAGGGCTTCTTGTAAAAGACGTCCAATAGCAGACAATAATTTGTGAAGTTGCAGGTCTTCAGCTACGCTGTTGATAACCCTGAGTGATCCTCTGTGATCAGGGCTTGCAGGGGATGCCCAGATGCACTGATAAATCAGTATCCGAAGCAAAAGGATGAATGTTTACAGGCTGGTGTCTGTTTCCCATCAATCATTCCTTTCTTCTGGCACCAGCACCCTTTTAGAAACAGTAAGAGCTAGAGTTATTGTCCAAGAATCAATGCATTACAAAATATATGATATGTTGACATTTTGGAGGTTTGATGCAATATAAAGCAAATTGGTATAATATGGATAACCTTTACCATGGGTGCTGTGCTAGAATGAACAAGCTACCAAAATCATTCACAGTGAAAAGTATTTTGACATGAAGGATTTAACTTTTCTGTAACAAAGACAGATTTACAAGGTTCCAGGTGAGTTACAGGTTTCTGCTTCCATAACAGTATTTTCAACCTAGCAAAACCAGAGAGCAAACTATGGAACTCAACCATTGCCCAGACCGGGCAGGCAGGCAGGCAGGCAGGGCAGCAGCAGGAAGGCTCTTGTATTAAAGTGACACAGAGATGAGTATCAGGGCTACCAGGTGCTGGTGGTAGTCTCTTGGCAAGAGCACCTCAGTGAGGTCCAAAAGCCTTATACATCTCTTAAGACTGGTTTGTTTTTTTTTGGAAGATTAACAAAGATATTGCAAGCACACTTCAGTTCCCTTGAGATTTCCCATTAGCATTGGAAAAGCTTTGCTCCTTTTTTTTTTTTCCTTTGAACTGTGATTTACTGATCACACTGATGATAATCTATCGATAAAGATAACTGTTCACTTGCAGCTTTGCTATAAGGATGCTTTCCCCCTCTGTTACAGCAGTCTTATTTTCCTAGGTTTGGGGGTGTACTCCTTATTTATTTCATAGCAAATCTATTTCTTTTCCTCTCTTCAGAAAGCAACTAGAAATTCGCTCGGTTTCTATCACCTCAATCATATTATTACAGGTATAAAATCCTAAGATGTTATTACAATGACTTAGAATATACATTTACTAAAAAAATACAGGTAAAAATACGAATTACATAGGAGGAAAACTGCGAAGACACAGTAAGTACCCTAAATATGGACAAGAAAAACCAGGGCTAGGAACTCCAACTCATTTCTCTCAGCCTGCGCCTGGTGTCAGCTGGAGCCTGGGTGCCGGGCTCTCTGCAGGAGGATTTCAGCCAACCTCCACAGTACATCTGGATTCTTTTTGTCTGGATGCTAAAATCTCAGCAAATCCATCAGACAGATGTTAAGAAACAAAAGCAAGTCGCCACTTTCTGCAGCCCGCTTTGCTTGTCCCCAGTTTTAAATTATGCCCTGTGTCATGAACCCTCCTATACCCCAAAACCACAGGAAGTGGTATGTGACCTGGTGAGCTCCTTAGCATGCCACTTTGGTAATACACATTTTCAAAACTTATCTTCAAAGCTGTTCGAAAACAGCCTCCCTATATTTAAATAATGCCTCATCCTAAACTGAGCTAAACTACAGACACTATGAAATGCCAACAGATGGTTGAATTGTGTTTCCATAGCGAAGTAATTTACAATAATTGCTGTATGGACGTAAATGCAATTTTCCATTCTATTCACTTTATCAAGTGTTACCATACAACTCTCATATATTTTATCAGAATATGCAGAGAATATCTGAATTTTCATGCAATAACAATTCTCAATTAGTTCAAATATATTGAAGCTTCAAATCTGAATTTGACACAAAAGCAGAAATATCTAAGACCAAAATAAAAATAAATCTTTTTAAGAAGCACACTGTCTAGTACCACTGTTTTTGTAGCGACCTTACATTCTTTTTTGTTTTCAGTTGGAATGTTTACTTATTATCTTGGAATCCAGTAATTCAGAGAACACTTTTCATGTCATTACCCCATTACTTAGAACAGTCATTATACAAAAAGGAAACAACTACTCTGCTAAAAAATTATTTTAAAATTGTGACAAATCAGAACATACTGGAATAAACTGTAGGTGAGTATCATGTTTCTGTGTAGAAAAAAGAAGTTACTGAGATTAATTATCCTTAGACTACAAGCCTGTATATTCAGGCAAAAATGAATTTGTTTGATATTTTTCTTGCTAGCTCTTCAGTTACCCATAACCTTTTATAACTCCAGAGACTCAGATCCACTAATAAACAGGACTGGATAGGACTAAAAGACTGTGAAGCAAGCCACCACCCTAACACACTGTGCGAAAATACTTCCTATATAACGAATTCTCATTAAAGTAAGCCAGAGTCATAATGATAGTCGTTACACAGAATTATAGACTATAACATCGATTGAATTTAGTGCACTGACAAGGAAAAAGTGCAGAGGAGTGCAAGACATCTGAGCATTAGGCAGCTATAGCACTGTACAACAGACATTCCTGACAAGAAGCAGCCAATTACACTTTAAATTTCTGGCACATAACCAGTTCTGATTAATAGTTCTCCATTACATTACAGACATATTATTAATGTATTAAAAATGTCAAGCTTTGGCAAGAACTAATACGGCATGGCTCAGTTAGTCTGCAATGTCTTCTTTTAATGAGCTTCCATTGATACAGAGAAAGATATTGACCAAAGCACATTAAGGATCATGGGCTGAGCACTGCTGGGTTTTTTCTGACGGAGCCATACGATTTTTCTTGCTTATATTTATTCCTGCAGAGTCACTCACGATTAGCATTCTACATTTCAGTGCTCTATTGCTAAGGACATATCTATTCGAATTATTCTGTAAAAAAACATTTAGAATAACATTTTTGAAGTTTACAGTCACATAGTGCTGAGCCTCTAGCTGCGGGGAACACAAAGCAATGTTTTTTTTTGTCCCCTGTCATGCCTGTGTGTTTCACCTTACAAAAAAAGCAATCAAACAAATCAGGAATACCTGATGTCTGGTGCCCCAATCCCCTGCAACCCGCGGTGCTCTGCTAGTTGCACACCCTGGGTGTTGGAGGCCCATGGGGGTGGCAGAGCGGGAGCAGCGTCCTTACTGACTGAGGGCAAGGGAACGACGAACTGCTGGAAGGACACCAGCTAATGTATGCAAAGCCTCTGGAGCACACTGCTCCTGGAGATCTGCTTTGTAGGGAGGGCAACAGCTGTATGAACTGCGGGATGTTTCGGGCCTTGTGTAGACTCTGCCATACGGAAAACACCAGGAGGCACCGGTGTCGAAGGCCACTTCTCCTGTCTCTGCCTTCCCCCAGCACCGCTCAGTCTGCAAAGCGCTGGGCATTCAGGCCGCAGTGAGTATGTTACAGTTTTTTGAGGAGAATGGCACACAGCTAACCCCCGGACTAAAATCAGCTGTGAAAGCAGCGCAGAACATATGTGTCCCTTTCCAGGTGGGTAAGTCACACCTCACGAAGCATTTTAATTCTGCAGCCCAAACAGATACCCCCTTCACAAACCAGATAAAATGCGTCTTGGTAGAATCAGTGCTGGTAAAGAACTTTAGATCTCATCAGGGGTTGTTAGCTAACATTCCTCCTCTGCCTCCTTCCATCACCGTGAAAATCCACCCCCTTTCCCAAATAACTCCCTCTGCACAGACAGTGTCGGCTGGATGCCCCGCACAAGCTCCCTGCCAGGCAGTCGCTGTGCAAACCCTCCCGGTGGGCTCCTGGCCTCCCCCTTTGGCAAACAGCAGGAAAGTGAAGGAGGTAACAAAATAACAAGCGATCGCCTGTCACACAGACCGTGCATTTGACAAAGTGTACAGTGTCACCAGAATGAGAGCCAAACGCGGTTACAGCGCACGCCAGCCTGAGGAGAACCGGCTAAAATCATTAAGCGAGGCAAGGAGTGCTGGCTGTCACCTCCTAACACCAGCGTCTCCAGAACAGTTTTTTCCAAAGGAAATGTTTTAAGTTTGTATCCCTAACAGCTCCAGCAGATGAATGTATCTAATCAAGCCCAGGTAAAAAGACCCTTTGTGTCCACTCCAGTTATTAATTATTTAAAGACACTTTAGAGCACAGGAAATAATGTCTATTGCAAAACAGAACTAATGCTCCTACCTGCAACTTAAATTTAATAAAACCCAAGTGTTTTATACCTTGCTGCACCCAGACAACTTAGGAACCTGGCATATATAAAGCTCCAAAATTTAAAACAAAAAACCCACAACACAGCCCCTTTTATAAATGCAAAATTTTTCATCTATGCAAACCAGAAGGGAAGCTGTATTTAATGGTTTAATACATGCTTTCTGTCAGTACTTCTATGAAATAGTATACTGCAAACAACCGCTGTGGTGCCTTTGGATTCAAATGCTGCTCCAAACAAAGTTTAGGTTCTATTTTTATCCAGCTTATTTAACTACTTAGCAAAAAAAATTTCTTTGCCTCAGGAGGAATTTAAAATGTCAATACCTATTGGCTGAAGAAAATAAAATACGGCGTTCTGCTACCTAAAAAACTGGGATTCAGCACTATACTTAAAATATTTCTGGTTATCTCATATCATTGTTTGCTGAGAGTCACCTCACACTACTGCTGCCATTACTTGCCTGGGTATCATGAGCTGTCAGGATATGGAGTAAAAGCACTTCACCCATTTAAATTTTAGAGCCTTCGTATGTACCTGCATTTTTTCTCTAGAATTTTTATAACTGTGCCTTACTGCCTTAAATATCTCTGTACCTAGCATCAAACTGTTCTGCAAGT